GCGGGAAATATAATATATATTATGATAAAATGATTATAAATATGTACTCTATCTTAAATAATTAAATTAAAACATTTAATGATAAAAAGATATAAAAACAATCAAATTATTAAATTGCTTTTATATTGGTTAATGTTTTAAATAAAATTTTTAAGCATAAAAAGCTCTTTCTGCTTTTGAAAATATCAATTGAAGCTTGTTTATTCTTGGAAAAATGTCTTATTTGTTTTAATAATAATAATAACTAAAATTAATCTTTAAGTAAACTTTAATTTATAATTTTTTTCTGAATTAAAAATTGTAGTAAATTTTTTAATATATTATTTCAAGTATTTCTAAGCTTCTAATTATAATAATTAAACAACAATGTAATATATTTTTTAAATTAAATATGTTATAATATCTAATAATAGTACAATAAATTTTATATAATATAAAATTATATATGTACGTGTATTTATAAATTATATGCATTTTTATTACGTCTTTATACTATAAATAAAAAATATGTAAAAATTTAGTACTACTAATTTTATTTCAATTTATTTCTATAGTATTATCTTCCCTAGATTAGATACAAATGCTAATAATTCGGAGTTTTGAATTAAAATATAATACATATGTATACGAAATATAATAACGCTCATATATATACAAATAAGTATGTATATATTTTTAATACACGTATATCTCATTTAATTCTTAGCGGTATAACGATTGTGTTCTAAAAGATACCACAATTAATAGATTTGTATTTAAAGATCAATGAGAATAATAGCACAATAAAAATCGTTATGTCCGATGGACCATGATTGTCAATTTAAAAAACACGGTGCATATTAAAATACTATAGACAAAAAAATGTATTTATATGTAATTATAAATTATACAATAAGGTAAATAGATGTACTTAAACTAAGATTATTTTTTCATTTATAATTTTTTTAGGTTATATTTAAGTGCAATTATGTTATAAACATCATGGAATGTTTAATTAATTTTAGTTTTGGCTTAAAAATTATCCTATAGTTGTCAAATATACGAAATATCATATGCGGGGCTCATTATTATTGTTTAAAATAATTTGAACAATGTCAGATATCAAATATCAACAATCAAAAATATTATCACAACATTCAGTTGAAGATCAGGTAAAATTTCTTAAGCAAACAATATTTTATTAGAAAATAGAAATATAATTTGTAATCAGTAAATTTATTAAATAATTTTATTAAGGAAGGAATAATTAATAATGAATATAAATATAATAGATTAAACATTTTTTTATTAGGATAATTCAATACTACAGGTAGTACAAAAATCTCCTTCAGAAATTAATGAAGTTAATGTCGTTGATTATTTACAAGATTGTGTAAATAAACTTTTAACTAAAGATTCAGGAATACATTTATCTTCTACACCAATATATAATTCAAACATTGAGTCACAATTGAAAAACAAAAATGATTATAAAAATAGTATTGAATTTGATTTTATAAAAATTGAAAACATTTTTTTACAAAATATACCAAATTCTCAAAATGAATTGAGATTTAAATGCATAGAGCAAAATCATTTAAAAATGAAAAATGAATCTGCAGAATCTATAACTCATTTAGATGAAAAGAATACTAATAGTATTAAATTAATAAAAATGAATAATGCAATTGATACAGAAGATGTAAAAAGTAACAATATTCCTGTTAAAGTAAAAAAGGCTTTTGTACTTGAGAAAAAAGTTTTTACTCAAGTTAAAGATAAATCATATAACTTAGAAGTTAAGAATGAAAATTTGAATGATGAAAATAATGATCCTGAAACTAAATTTATAACATCAAATAATCAGAGTAAAATTAAAATCAATAATCTAGTTATGTTAAATAAACAAGTTAAAACATGTAGTCAATGTTCAATGACATTTAGATACAAAAGACATTTAGATCGGCATCTGGAAGGTCATCAAAAAAATAATTGTTCTCACTGCAGTGCAAAATTTGCCAGGCGTAAACACCTTGATATACACTTATTTCGTTCACATGGTGAAAGAGTAACAAAATATCCACATTCTTGTGATGTATGTTCCCGTAGTTTTCCTAAACGTATTTTATTAAATCGTCATCGTGCAAAACACAACTATGAAAATGGCAAAGTTTGTTCAGATTGTGGAGAAATGTTGAAAGCAGAAGAAGATGATAAGGAACACAAAGAAAATCATTGCACACGAAAACAATTTAAGTGTAAAAGATGTTTACAAACATTTAGTATTGAACAGACATATATAGCTCATATCCAAAATCATGATAATTATAAATGTCCAAAGTGTGATGTCACTTTTGCCTCCAAAAAGAAGGTGCATGAACATTATAAAATGGTGCATTCTTCAAAATTGAATCATGATAAAATATCAAATAACGGTAAGTTTTTAAAAATAGAATAAGAAAATATATATTCATAATTTATAAAAACTGACTATTTTATAGGTATTTACTTTTGTACTGACTGCAGGCATACTTTTTTAAAAAAGGATGATTATTCTCGTCATTTAGATTCTACATTACATCTTAATAAAGTAAACAGGGAAATATTCCAAAGAGACATTTTTACATGCCTAATTTGTTCTAAGAAATTAATTTCACAAAGAGCTCTCGATCAACATGTTAGACGTATACATAAAGAAGAAAAAAGATTTACATGCAATATATATGGTTGTACATTTCAGTGTGCAAGAAAATCAGACTTGGATAGACATAGACAATTACATGTAGAACAAAGAAATGTTGTATGTGAACAATGTGGTAAAACTTTTACTAGTGTTAGTATTCTTAATGATCATGTTCTCTATATACACAATAAGGAAAGACAATTTATATGTGAAGAATGTGGTAAAGCATTTAAACGAAATAGTTTATTAAAAAGACATAAATTATCTCATCAACAATATCGGCCGTTTGCTTGTATGCAATGCAATACTGCTTTCAAGAGATCCCATCATCTTTCTCGTCATATGGAAACTTGTCATAGAATTACACTTGAGAAGAAAAAGAAGGTGAATTTAACTCTACATTTATATTTTACTTTTTAATCGTTTATGTAATTTAACAAAGATGCACAATTAAAATATAATAAAAATTCAACAGGTTGTAAAACTTATGAAAACAGAAGATGGTCATCTTGTTCCAGTACCAGAGAAACCAAAAAAGCTTAAACCTAAAAAATTAAAAATGAAAGCAGGATCTAATAAAATCTTATTGTCAGATGACAAATCTGTTACTTTTCAAAACGTGGATATTAATAACAAATATTCTGATTCATATTTGGAAGCACAAACATTGCTTAATTCTAATGACTTATGTGAAAATTCAGCATTGCCATTAGAACTTACAAATGTATTATCGAACACAGATTTTGCCCCTCAGGTTCTTTCATTAGTAGACATTAATGCAGAACAAATTGTGACTGTAGAAGTTACTACTCCAAAAACATTAATAATGAATGATCTTGTAGATCAATTTGAAATAAATTGTAATGAAATATTGAATCTAACAAATTATCAAGATTTAGAACTTCAGCATGGAATTTCAAATACAGATCAAAATTTGTATGATCATATAAATTATTCTGAATTATCATTAGGAACTGTTGAAGGAACATCATTTTTTGTGGATTCGAATATTAACAAACTAGATGCTTTACCAATAGAAAATTATTTGAATCAATCGTTTCCATCGTTCTTAAATTTTTAATCATATTACATAATATGTATTAATATAAAATATCTAGCTTATAAGCTAAAAAACCTTTTCTATATCTCTATCATTACTTGAATTTATAAATACAAAATTTTATTAACATGAATTATAAATATGTATTAAAAGTATGTAAAACTGCCTAAAATTATTTTAAGCATAATTAAAACGTTTAATAAGTGATCAACAAAAATGTGATATATTTTGTAATACTTAGATTTTATCAAAATTTATCATGCATTTAATAAGTATAGTAAGTAATAAGTATAAATAAAATTGTATAGTAATCTTTCTAGATTTTTTATTTATAGTTGTTTTTATTAATATATATAATATAATATATAAATGCCATAAATATGTTATTCTTTTTGCTTAAAAATATACATTTTAATGAATATAACTAATGTTTATTTTTATTATTTATTAGAGACATGGATAACTCATGCTAGTTATCATGATGGGAAAATTATAAAACAGGGTATGCACAGTCTCATACACCCTTATCAAATTTGATTAATTTCAGATGAGCTCACATGAGCTCGCCATAAAAACATTTTGTGACATGCCAAATCAGTTTTTTATAAGTATAAATCATTATTTCCCAAAGTATGATATAATAAAGTTATATATATGTAATAAAGTTATATTTAAAAATATATTTATTTTTTCCAATTTTATTAGTGCTAATTTACTTAATTAGTGCCATTCAATAAATAATGCTTTGTTATAATTTGTATATCTGAGTTTTTTATTGCAACAGCAAGTTTCTAAAAGTAGAAAGTATTAACAAATTTTGTGACATTTCCCTACTCACTTGATTATTGCTTCCTTTCATCTCATTTTAATTATTGAGTATACCAAATGACATACTTATAGATCTATTGTTCATAGTGAAGATTCTTTCATATGGACAACAGTTATCCATACCTAATTTACTATATTAATATAAGATAGTATATGAGATCTAAATAATAATAGAAAAAATTGAAATAATAAAAATATATCATAAATACGTATTTAAGTGGTATTTGAATATGACCAAAAATATTAATGCAATTAAATTATTATTAATATAAAACACAAGTATAAAATATATTGTACATATTCATTTAAGTCATATACACTTTTTCACATAAATGTTTGAATTTATATATCTCGTACATATTTATTTCTCACGTTATTTATATTCTTTTCAACACACTGTCATTGTACATCATTTTAAAAATTGCTATAAAATAATAATAAGGAAAAGAATTCTATAGTATTTCTTATTTCATTATTAATATTAAGATAAATAAATAATTAATATGAGTAAGATTATGAGAATCTTCCTCTTATTAATTACGTTCGTAAATGCAAAAAGTTCATGTTGATATATATGTCAACGAAGTTTACACATTTAGAATATGTATGTAATTACTCAAATATAGTCTTACCCTTTTTTAGCACCCCGTATATTGTAAATATCCAATTGAAAAGACTGACTATATTTTTGTATGCTAATTTTTGTTGCAAAACTTACAGACATAATATATAATACAAGATTTGAACAAAATTTAAATAAAATTTTATTAATAGTATGATCTTTTCTTTTGATTTGTTCGTATATTATTAAAGTTATCAAATCTTTACTTGTTTTTATACTTATGTCTTTTAGTTTGAAGTCTATGATACTTAATTATATATATTTATACTTATATAGCTTAGACAATGTGTTTCATTTAAATTTTTTCCTAAATTTTTTTCACGAAACAAATCTATATAAAAATACGCTTAAAATTGCTGCAGTTGCTCCACCAATTAAACTCCATGTAAGCTTTGATGAATTTTTACTTTTTTGTTCTTTTGTATTTTTTTGAGAATTATTGTCATTTTTATGTGCTCCTAACATTTTACGATACAGATTTTTTTCATGCTGAGCGTCCTTAGCATTCTTCTCTTTTAAAATAGCTAATTCCGACTGAATAGCCTTTGTTTCTGGCTCCAATTTTGCTGCTTGAAGCAATGTTTGATATGCTAATGCATGTTCTCCTTTATAATGCAAAATTTTTCCTAAAAAAAATGTAATATGCTTAATATACAAAACTTACTATTATATGTATATATAAAATGGCACGTGTACAATATTACCTTTCCTAAAGAGCGCTTTTACATTTTGAGGTTGACAACTTAGAACACTTTCTACACTTTTCAATGCTGCATCATAAGCTTGTGTTTTCATTTGTGCAGCTGCTAGATTATTATATACTTTCATACGATCCTCCAGTAAAGCCTGTAATTCTGCATCAGTAGTAGTATCTTCCACTTCATTTTGGTAAGATGTACGACTTTCTGTTGGTAACAAAAATTCTAATGCTCTCCGATAACACTGAATCGCAAGCGTTGGTTCATTACGAGTAAACCACCAATTGCCCCGTTCCCGTTTTTTATTGCTTTAAAAGAAGTGAAAATATGCAATCAATTATAATATCAAATATCAACAATCATAAAAAATAATTACCCAATTTCTTTTCGCTGATTGACATGGAGTGTTTCTGTTTCTTCTTCTAATTCACTGGACTTCAATTCAACTGTATATAAAATAGTGGCATTTGGTGGAATATTTGGTTCTTTTCCTAGAGAACCATAAGCAAACCTTGGATCAATCTCAATTTCAGCAACTTCATTTACATCCATTAATGCAATTGCTAAATCTAATCCCTACAATTGTACAATGTAATAACAAACATTATTGATACTACTATATTAAGTAAAATTTTTTTATTGGAAAATTAATAATAATTATGTTACTCATAATCTAATAAAATATAAGTAGTATTATAGCAGATTAATCAATATAACATTTCTAAAATACAATTTAAAAAATACATTTATGAAACTGAGATTTAAAAAATAAAGATATCACTCAATACCTGAATCACTTCAACATCACCTAATTGAATTTTGAGGTCTTCATATTCTTCAACCGTCGTACCATCTTTTAATTTACCAATAATTTTTAAAGTACAAATATCAGATCTATTTGGTCGTGTTCCATTTTTCCCACTTTTTATAACTTTCTTTTTAAGCTGTCCATTTCCTAAGATATCTATCCACTCTTCAGGTGGATGTTCATTTAAAACTGCTTTTGTCATTGGTTCATTTGGGTTTATATCAAAGTTTAATCCTTCTTTAATGAAATCAGCTTGACTCGTCCCTGGTTGAATAGATTCATCTTCCATCTTCAAAATCCACAAAGTCCAACAAATTATTCACTTGTTATAGACATAAAAATTAATGAGTTTTTAAAAGATTGTATTTGAAACAGTAAATCACTATAGCAATATTAAGAAATTAAGAATTCATTCTATTATAGATATAGAAATAAATTTCAATCTCAATAAAATGTTCATTAATTTTTAATTCGCAATACCAAATATGTCATAATCATTAAATATAAGAACATTAAGTTATAAGAAATGTTAAACGCATATAATAAATAAACAATATAAACAATCGAAAAATGCACACTCATTCGATGAAACGAAAAAATTTTAAGCAGAAATAATAATATTAACATTATTAATTCTTGTTATGCGATAACGTAATACGAGTTTAAACTGACTTTTATTTAAAAAGATACGTACCTTGTTATTTTCAAAGGTTTCAATAATCATTAGAAATGCTAAGAAATAATATTCAACTTGTGTTTATTTGCAGAACACGCGACACTGATTAACTTCACTGATTACTTGAAATGAGCACTACTAGAATATCGAAAGTATTTAATCGATAATCGAACTTTTATCGACTTTCTTAAGCCAGTTGATTACGTAAATATGTATGTGTATGTATCTTTGTGCTTATTAGAAGAAACAAACGTGATTTAATTGCTTAATTCAACTAGAATAAATTTATCAAGTAAATGCTTCCGCTTTATAATTAATTCTGATACATATGTAATAACCGAAAATGAAATTAATCCCTAATTTTGATTGGTAGTAAAACTGATTATCAAGATCATATAATGTTCTTATCCTGTGTTTATTTAACAATCTAAAATTCCCTGCAATTTTATTAAAACAGAAATAAATTTATAAAACTACTAAATCATAAAATCAGTCCTTGCTCTCTCTCTCTTTCTTTTGGGTTTAGATACTATACATACATATGTATATACTATATGTACATATATAAGCAACAGAATAAATTAGCGAAGTGTTGCATAAAATATGTTTGTAACACCAAAGATCATTTTGTGTCATATCAATGCGTAAAACTTTCAATCTCCTATATATCTTTAGATCGAGATATCTATAGACTGTAGTTTGTAAGTTTTAAAATCTTATTATTGTGGTAAATAATTTTTATTTTCAACTACATTGAAACGAACATGTATTTTTATATAAGATATTCTATAATTATTGCTCAAATATTGATAACAGTTGCTAAATAAATACTAAAATCATATTATATCATATCATATCAATCTGTTTCAATCTTTTTATTAACTAATAACATATTTACCAATTCTCAGTTGTAGTTTATATTACATGCAAGGTGAATGGAACCAATCGAATGATCCCACATTTCTAACATATACGCATGCGCATGGGATCCACGTTCGACTGTATATTGTATATGTACCACTCTGACAAAGTGTATAGTTGCTAAGAAGTCTTTATCCTGTTAATTCCCATTCAATTTTAAAATTCTTTTTATTAATAATGAAATCGCTTTTATTAGTGGGAGTCGTGTTAGCGACCTTTTGTTCAAATAGTAACGCTGACGATAAAAAAGGCCCAAAAGTTACAGATAAGGTAAATAAATGAAATATACTAATATAAAACATCAGACTTGTTAACAAAGAATTTATTTTCGAACAAAATAAAACTAAATAAACTAAATATGACTCATTGTTGAAAAATAGTCGCTTTTCTTATTTTCAAATTAAATAATATATCTTCGATTTATATATATTTTGATTTATTTTTTACATTCATATGTTAGAAAATTTTTTAAATTAAGTTCGTAATTAGGATATACAATTTAAGGATATACAATAGAAACAATAGTTTTTACAAGTCTATGAAATTTTAAGAAAATAATTAAATCTATAGCTATACATACATATTTATACATAGGTATGGTTTGACATTAATATTGATGGTAAATATGAAGGAAGAATTGAGATTGGGCTGTTTGGAAAAACAGTTCCAAAGACTGTCCAGAACTTCATTGCATTAGCAAAAAAACCTCAAGGAGAAGGATATAAAGGTAGTAAATTTCATAGAGTCATTCGTGAATTTATGATCCAAGGAGGAGATTTTACAAAAGGAGATGGAACTGGAGGTTTGATATCATCATATTATTTATTACTAGTTTGAAAATTGATGTATTACATCTTATTTAGTATAAAATTAAGATTTAATAAATCCTTTAAATTTTATTACATAAAATGACACATAGCTCAAGGTTTTTATAGTACTTAAAATATTGGACAATTATTAATAATTACATTTAATTTTATTAAATTTTTTTTATTAGGTCGCAGTATTTATGGAGCTCGTTTTGAAGATGAAAATTTCAAATTGAAACATTATGGTGCTGGATGGTTGTCTATGGCAAATGCTGGAAAAGATACCAATGGATCACAGTTCTTTATTACTGTGAAACAAACTCCTTGGCTTGATGGTAGACATGTCGTATTTGGCAAAATAATTAAGGGAATGGTATGTCATTTTCTTTACATAATCTGTTGGATTACATAACTTATTAAGTATCTATCATGAAAATAATTTTACAGGACGTAGTAAGAAAAATTGAAAATGTAAATACTGATACTCGAGATAGACCAACAAAAGATGTTGTAATTGCTGATTGTGGTGCAGAAGTAGTAGCAGAACCTTTCAGTGTATCAAAGGAAAGTGCTACTGATTAAACATATTCTTATTTTTATGATGATGGAAACTAACCATTTATGGCTCTTATGTATTAAAAGAACAAGCTTATTTAGTTTAATATGTTCATAATTTCATATACACTAAAAATTCATAAAGTGTAATATTTACTAATTTTGTATAAAAATCATTTAGATATTGTTTACATAATTGCTCAAAAAATTATTCACAAACCTTATTGTAATATACTTATCTAAAATACATTTTAACAATTATGATCAATCATTAAAAAAATACGTAAAATAAGAATTTGTTCTTAACAATTTTAATTGTAGAACAGTTAAGTGAAATGCATATTTATAAGTAGAAATTTCTTAAACAAATAGAGTTGGAAAATCACAAAATCGTATGAAACTATCTTGTAATCCATTATCTTATTCCGATTTTTATAAAACTATATACATACATATGCTAAAATGCGCAATAAATTTTATATACTTATAATCACATTTTTTCAAATAAATAATATAACTACTTTAGTGATGCATTTTATTCGTTTTCCTTTCATGCCTATTTTTATTCAATACAAATATAAACAACATAGTACAATTGAATACAACAAAATTATGTGAAATATAAATTGTATATATTATAAATCTACATATATATGCATAGGTATACTGTTTTAATTCAATGCAGTACATATATATGTAGTATGATATAGTACGAACAGGTATGAACAATATTAAGCCTTTCACTTCAAAGTTCATGACATTCTCATAAGTAAGAATTCTTCATTTATTTTTTATAAAATACATACTGACTACGTAAATGAAAGTTAGTTAAATAATTTCTGAAGAAACTTTATTATATGTACCTATATGTACATATGTTAATTAATTTTTGTAATTACTAATTCATTCATATATATGTCAATGATTGTCAATAATTTGCATTGAAACATATATAAGTAAATATATATATATATATAAGTATGTGTATGTAACGTCATAGCCTTGCGGCTCCCTATAGCGTACGGGGAGCCATACATTTACGAATTTTTATGTATTGACGCAGCCTTGAGGTTCGAGTAGCATGGTAACTGATAGTTTGAAGCCCACCTTAAACTATAGGTCCTACATGCCCTTCAATGGTACCAAAAATCATTCTTGCTTACTCTCCAAGTCGTACCTAAGCCAATCAAAATCGTAGTGCTTGATACCGAAAAACAAATGCCTTGGAGCACTTTGAAAAAGACCGAGATGAGGCGTAAGGAAAGGTCTCGTTCTGCGTATACACGACGCTGGTAACATGTATACTTTGATAGTTTATTCGTTTTCTCGGATGTTTACAGCTTTCATAATATGTTGTACATTTCCCCCAATGGTGGCGTTTCAGAAGAGATTCTCTCCTATATTGTCTTCTTATAGGTACACACACATATATATATATACATATGTATATACATACCATGAATGTTCAACAGAAACACTATTCATCTCTATCTGTTTTGCAAGAACGTGGACTTTGTTAATTTTTCAACTTGATTTTTAATGATTAGACACGACTCAATTTACGGACGGTTTTCCCTAGCAAATGTCAAGACCTGTTTATATGATCGTATCGTGGCTTTTATACTCCAGGGATAATAACTCACAATTTAGCTTGGAATTCCCCAAGTTCCTGAACGGCCACACAATAGTACCAACCAATCAGAATTAAGACACTAGTGAATTTTACTAGATGTATCCAACTTGATTTTATTTTCCAATCTATGTAGAATTCATATGTAATGTATTACGCAGTATTATTTTGTAGCATACTAAAATTAGGTTATATTTTGATGTTTGGAATTTTAAAATATTAACAGAAAGATAGTAAAATGTCAAGGAAGAAACATAATGTGTCGTATATTAAGCCGAATGAGCCAAAATTTTTACGCGAATTAAAGGAACAAATCGGATACAAGGAAGGACCTACAATTGACACAAAGGTAAATCGTATTTTTCATTATATACAAATAATTGTTCAACTTCTAGGTTATTAATTAGGACGTAACTATAAATTAATAATTATTTATTGCAATTAAGCATATTTGCAATTAAATCATTACATACACCACAATATATACTTATTTATAACTAGCATAAACAATCATTTAAATAATTTAAAACGTTCTCTTAAACAGAGAGAAGTATTACCACAATATTCAGACAATGAAGAAGAACATGAAGAAGACAAGCCTGTTGTAGTTGTATTAAATTCTGAACACTTGAGTGCAGAACAAGCAGAAGCATATAAGAAAAAGAAAGGAGAAGGTATAAAGTGCATAACTTTCATCTACGATAACTACACATGAATTTTTATATTGTAGAGGAAGCTAATACTCCAGCAGATTTATCTAAAAGAATTATATTCAAGAAAAACAAAATAACAGAGGCAGAATCAGATAAAGCAGATAAACCATTGAAAAAGAAAATTAAAAAATCAAAACAAGAGAAAGTTGTATTATCATTTAGTGATAATGATGAAGATTACTCGTAACATTGCTTATGTATGCCAAACGCATTTATAATTAAAATATATAAAATAAAAATGACTGTACAAGATCTCAAAGATATTTAACATATTTTCTAAATATATACAGTAGGATCTACAGCATATAATGGTGATGTAATAACATATAAATATGTTATTGGAGGAACTTTGTATATTTAAGGTACTGAAAATATTGATATTTAAAATGTAAATATTGTATATAAAACTCTTACATTTTTTTCCAATAACAATGTTAAAAAAAAGGATGTAATTAGCTGTATAAATATAAATTCTTAATAAAAAGATAGTATCTTTTTGAAAATAATTCTTTTAATAGTGTAAAAAAGAATGATAATAAAAATTTATTAGATAAAAAAGCCATGTTATTTTATTTAGAATACATATATATATATAAATTAAGTAATAAACTTTGTATTTATAAGTATAATGTATATAAAAATGGTAAAACAACATTTTTTTAATACCCTTACGTGAATTGTCGGTGTGTCTTCCCAAAGGAACCTATAGAAAAGGGCGGAGGCTTGTTAGTCAACCCTATTACTAATATTACTATACACATTGTTGCAATTGCAGATTGTCCTTATTCTTGGGAGAGGCTCTCATTGGATGTGCACGTGTACCCGGTCACGTGACTATATACAACAAACGCTACTGGTCGTTTCGTCCCTTTAACATTACGCGTACGTCATAAAATTTACGGTCACGTGATTATCGTCGCCATCTTGGCAGTTTTCGACGACGAAGGTAAGAAGGATCCGTGACGTCGAACCCAAATAAACACAAAGTATATGTGAATAATTTTGATATAAAAACGGTGTGTATCAAGTGTCGAAGGAGTCGCGTGTGTAGCCGAATATTTATCAGTGCTTGCGAACGGTCAGTGAATTTAAATAGCACGGCATTTGCGATGTGTGTGTGTTTCGATTATTGGTCCTCTTTGGGGGGATAATCGCGATCGGCTAGCGACCACCACGGCAGCTGTTCGACAGTTAAGCCAGCCCTTATGAAGAAATGGCGGCATCTTCCTAAAAAATTTCAATGAATTAGTAAACACGAGTGTTTCCACAATTTTCGAGATCGTAGATGGAAACAAAGAATTATTATTTGTAAAAAGAAAAAAAAGGAAACGCCAAGGGACTTGCGATTGATTTGTTGGATTTTATGATTTGTACAGTTGTGGTACCGAATAACACAATATAACCAGGGCCGTGACAATCCTCTCAATTCCCTTGCGATTCCCAATAATTTTAGCTCCTCTTATCTCTCTTTATTAAACAGGTTGTCTCGAAAGATTTTTAACAAGAATTTTCTTTCGAATGTATGCACTAATGTTTACATTTCTTGACTTTTAGTGTAAATATATTACTACACTATTGATGATATTAGAATTCATTTACGATATATCGATTGCCATTAACTACCGACGTTCGCGTAACTTAACTAAATTACTTACATTACATATAGTGATACTAGTGATACACGCTAAGAACTGTTTAGTGGAATTTATTATGTACTTCGCTACTATTGTTTTCACATTGAATCGATCGATTCGAAATTGATAGTTAATTATTTATTTCAATTATATCGACGCAGAGCGTATTTATCCTTTAAATAATGCGATCTTGCACCATTATTTTGCTTACTTAAGTGCATGATCAGCAAGATATGGAGTAGAAAAATGCTGTATGTGAATTATTGAAATTACGATAGAGAATCATGATTTTGATCCTTTAAATCGACTAAATAAAACATTGCATATTAATGTTTCTATAATTTCAATTATTTAATTGTATATTTCTTTGTTTCAATTTTACAGTACATTGGAATAGAAGATAATTCAATCAATGCTCTCATTTTATATTTAATATATTTTAAACAATTTGCATCTCGTACACAACATATATTTTTTTACAAAGTGAACGAAAACATCTAATCAATTTTGTTCCTTTATTTTCATTAAAAGATAATGAATATCATTCAATATTAAAAACATATCTTTTTAATATTTTTTTGTATAAAGTTTCGTTCAAGACTAATGACATTCATATAAAAAGCTATAAAAGAATGATAAATAGCATCCAGGGAAAATATACATCACGAAGTATTCTGTTCCGTTCTGCCGCCCTTTCTTTCTAGCTTGATTTCTGCTTAACCCTTGTGGAAAAGAGCCCACGATTCTTGCGACGGCCCTGGGCATAACTTTTTAACGTTTCCAACGTCGCGCCTGCCCTCTGGTGCCTAATTTTCAGCGATGAATGTTCACTATTTACAGGTTTTGTGAATAAATCGTGTAGAAGTGTGTATAAAGGACAAATCGTACCTCCTCCACCGCCACTGAAGATCGCACGTTGTGAAAATGTCGCGGTATCAGAAAATCGTTTAGGACAAGCAAGCGGTCAGGTGCGTATATTTGTGCCTAGTGACAGGAGACGAATGGAGTTTGTACGCGTTCCATTACCTCATAGATCTGCCGGGGGATTTGTGGATAAGCGAATTAAGTAGCACGAGACACGTCCCGAAACGAGCATACTGAATGGAATTCCTCGGTGTTTTCGATCACTTGCATACCCAATTCTTATTCACGTTCTCCGATTTCCAAATAATCTTATCGTTACTATTTCCAACGAACGATGCGAATGCTGCATCAAAGAGCATTAGTGTAGGTTAAAGTATGCTTAGCATCTTTTAGGAGAATACTGTAATGCTCTTTCAATAGGATGCAAAAGAGACTTTATCATCGTCTCTTTCTACTTCATATATCAAACCGCTTATTTCCTACAAAATTTCGTTTGTCATAAGGACAAATGGTAATTTCGAAAATTTTAATAAGAACTTTGAATAAAAACGTCACCTATCCGGTGGATCAGATCTATGTATACAGATAATCTGACAAAACGATCCGCGTTTATCTAGTTTCTTCTTTGTCACGTATCATCAATCTATATTAGAATGTTATTTGACGTGTTTAAGTTACATGGATAAATGTGAAACTATCCGATACTTGCAATTTCAAATTCGTTCACGTTTAGTATCGTCGTGTGAGATGAATTTGTCATGATTGGATTCGGTAGGTCATAGGGTTGTTCTGTAGGTGGTTGGCGTGTTGTCCGGCATATATAGTGTAGAGTACTGTAGAGAGTCGGAAGGTTGTGCGCTCGCGCGCTCACCTATGGATGGCGAGTCGAATGGTTCGTGTCTGCGTATCACTGCGTGTATGTTTATATACCTACGACTACATGTTTGTCAGTGTGTACGAAAGGCGAAAGTTCGATGTATAAGTTGTAGGTATAGATGTAGGTTTGGTAGGTTTGTGAAGGTTGAGTGAGGAGAGGTACGGCGGAGGGCTGACTGGCTGACTGGCTGGCGCTCGGACGCGGTGGCTGGCGAGTGCAGGTGACTGACTGAGAGACGCTAACCATTCAAGCTACTTCGCAGGACTTCGCTTCGTCTCCGATCATTTTTATCCACGGGTCCACTCCCTGGTTCCTCTTTTTCCAAGTGTGCGCGCGTGCCAAGAGTTTCTCACCGACCAACCAGAGACTCATTTTGGGAATTCTGTCGGGTCTGGAGCGTGGGGATATATATCCAACGAACTTTGTTGGTTATGGGAACAAGGAAATAGGAGTACGGAATTCGCAGCGCCATTTTGAAAAATTCGGCCCCGCTAAAAATTCCCTCTCTCTCTTTCTCTCTCTCTCTCTCTCTCTCTCTCTCCCCGCCCTCGCGTTCTCATATCGTCGATGTAATGAAACGCGTCGTCGTCGCTACGAGCCGCTTATCCCTCTGCTCTTATTAATTGTTTAGATCAACTGTACAGTGGTGGCCCCATGGAAGGCACGCTGGAAGAACCCCCTATTAAGGACTCATCTCAGACCAGTCCTGATAAGGTTCTCAAAGGTATGCTCTATTCCTCTTTCAAACTGTTAGAGCAACCCTTTTTTTGTACGACCGATATATTCATTTTTCTGTTTTGCTTCGCTATTTTCTTCCGTTATCGTTAAAAAGTGACGCCAGTATTGAGTTTCTCGTTTTTCTGCTATATGGATGGATATTATTTTATTGTATTTTATAACATTTTATTGGATTTGCATGTTGTTAAGAAGGTGTAGTTTGCTCAAGTTATGTAGAAATGATTCACATTTTCTAATACCTCTGCTATGTTCTCTGATCATTGTAATGTAATTGTAGTTATTAGTGAAGTACTAATAGCTTGCTTCATCTATCATGTTATACTTAATATAATGTATATTTAATATTAAAAAAGAATTAATACTTGTATAAAAATAATCTGTTATATTTTGCAGATGTGATTCCAAATGGGGTTAATGGAAATTATAATGACAAGGAAGAATTCATTGATGCTGACACTAATATATCCAAACTTGTGTCAAAAGAAATTAGTGTAGTAAGGGAGCAAAGAGAGGCAAATGGAAAAGAAGATGATGAGGACAAACACAGAATGGATGTTGAAATGGAAGAAAGGGGTCTAGAACCTGAAAATAGTGAACAGAATGGGATAGCGCAAAATAGAAGTAAAGGGAGTGAAATGTCAGAGTCAGAAAATGACTCTAAAATGTCTAAATCTCCAGAGGGTGTCAGTGACATAAACAATTTTAGTGAAGTGTCCAAGACTGAAGATAAGTGTAGAAACACATCCTGTGAGGCTATGGAAGTTGATGAACAGAGTAATAATTCGGATGTTGAATGTCTTGACGAAAACATAACAGAAATACACTCCGATAACGATGATGTGTTCACTACAAAAGCTTCTGCCCTTAAAGATAATAATTTATCAGGCAGTAGTGATATCCAACTTAATGACAGTAGCGAAATTGCTGATAGTAGTATGGATACATCTGATGTGAAAATTTGTGAAGAAAACGGTAGTTGCGATAGTCCTGATATTGAAGAAATAACTGATAGTGCAAAGAATGGTCATAATACTTCACCAGAACGTATTAATAAAGACCCAAAACAAAGAAAACAAAGAAAGCAAGTAGATCTTAGTAGTATTACACCAAGAAGAAGTTCTAGAAATATAAAGAGGACAAGT